ATTCTACTGCAATACATAAATATTGTAAAAAAATATAAAATATATGCTTAGTAAGAAGTATAGTTCAATTGACAATTTGATATATTCATAAAGTAAAATCAATAAAACTTTCCTATGTTCCAATTCCAATAGAGGTGAAGGATGGCTAGCTATAGAGCTCATTTTGTTTAATATGTAAGTTTCAATTAATTAAGGATTTTAGTTGAGATGAAAAAGTAAGTGTCACGAGCGGGATTCGAACCCACGACTTTCGGCTAGATACGCCGCTTCTCTACCACTTGAGTTGTCGTGACTTGGAACAACTCGGACGCTAACATCCCATCTCAACCCCACCTTTTGAATTTTCCCTCCTTTTTGCCATTTTTCAAATGTCGTGTAATCTATTTGATTCTTGGCGACAAATGAAATGGCCACGGAGAGCTTTATTGAAGATATACTTCATTTTAACTTATTAAATTCACTAATTTCGTGGTCCGCTTGACCAATTAATATCTTTCAATTAATTAAGGATTTTAGTTGAGATAAAAAAAAGGCAGTGTCACGAGCGGGATTCGAACCCACGATCTTCGGCTAGATACGCCGCTGCTCTACCACTTGAGCAATCGTGACCTCGATCCACTCGGACACTAACATCCCATCTCAACCCCACCTTTTGACATTTGTAATTGTTGAATTGAATGTAATTAATTGGTCACGCGGAGGAGATCGAGGTCACGATAGTTCAAGTGGTCGAGTAGCGGCGTATCTAGCCGAAAGTCGTGGGTTCGAATCCCACTCGTGACACTGACTTTATCTCAACTAAAATCCTTAATTAATTGAAAGATATTAATTGGTCAAGCGGACCACGAAAATTAGTCAATTTAATATGTAAGGTTCTCGAACCTTTTTGTGACTTTTTTTTATCTCGTCTTATGGTTTTTGATCATTGTAACACAATTTTTAACTGTACGTTGTTGTCAAGGGAGTATTTCTGTTGGGAGGTTCTATGAACTATCATAAAACCAATCCAATTGCTAGCAAATGTACGTATTTTACTATCAAACAGTCGTAAATATTAACACAAAAGTGCAGTAAACTGCTCAAAAATGAATAGGGATATTTGTGATGTATTCTTATCCTATTTATTTTAATTAAATTAACCGATATATTCTTGTTAGTTGGATAAAACAAAATAGAAAATAGAAACCAAAAACAAATGTTAATCTTCATTTTCAATAACGGATTAACTTAAGAATAGTAAACATGAAGATTAATCATTTTGGTGAAACACCTTTTCTCCATTTTAAACCAGTTGTATTCTCTTTAACCATGGGAAGGCAAAATCTTGAACCAGAAGTGGCAATATTATTGTGTGAGGTCACCAGCAAGTGGACGACCCAGAGGGAGTCGACGTTTCTCAGAGCGTGGTCTTAGCTTTAGCCCGATTCGGAGAGACTGGAATTGCTAATAGGAGGCCTGGTAGTGGATCTCAGTCAGCGCATTACGATGCTAATCAAGAACAAACGTAGAATGCCCCAGTTCGTGCTCCCTTCAATGCAGTTAGGAAGAGGCGGTGTAATGGTATGGGTTGGGGTTTAAAAAGAAGGACAAACTGGACTTGATATTGTTGAAGGCACCCTCACCGTAGTCCGTTATGTCCAAGAAATTATCAAGGAATACATCCCTCAAACCAGGGATCTCATTGGCAGGGATTTTCGATTTCTGGATGACAAGGCCAGACCCATAGAGGCAGATTTGTTCATCAATGTATAGAAAACCTGAAATTTTCCATCTTTCCTTCCCCCGTTGTCTCCAGACCTCAATCCCATTGAGCACATATGGAAGGATGCGTTGCAGAGAAGGCTTTTCGATCACTATCCGCAGCTAGTTGACCTGCACCAACTGAGTACATCATTGCAACATCTATGGAGTGAAATTCCTTATGAAATTAGTGACAACCTTATTAACAGTATTCCTAACAGGTGCATAGAGGTTTTAGATAACAGAAAACATTATACACGGTATTAATTGTTTAATTTTATTGTGTACAATAATTTTAATCCAATTTTAAAAACCCTAAATTTCAGGGGATAGAATTGAAGTTAGTGAATTCAATCAAATTCCCTGGTGTGACGCTTGACAGGAAACCTGATTGGAAAGGTCATATCAATAACATACATTGACTCACATATTTGTTCACATCAGTAAACAATTTTCTATTATCTCTAGTTTGCAAATCCCGTATTTTTTAATCCAGACAATAGGATTGAGTTCGTTGAACTGTTGGTAAACAAACATTCACCCTAATAATCTTTATTTATGTTTATACCTTTGAATTGAGCCAGTTTATTACCAGTCTTCGTGTGAACAGTTTTGTGAGTCGGATTACTTCATTGCAAATTTCGCAAAAACCATTCAATAATTCATCTCAAATTTGTTATCAGGTATCATCAATTTATTTATTTTTATTACATATTGAAAATATTTCCTTTCCTTAATGGTTATGATCTTTTTCATTTAATTACAGTACGAAGCCATTTTCAACATTTTTGAAAGATCAAATAATAAAATCTCTACAAGAAGGACTTCCTTATCGTGAAATTTAAAAAAAATATAAATTGTTATTATTGGGGTAATAACAAAACCTGAATGATCTTCCGGAATTTACGATAGTTGTTTTGAAAAGAAGAGGAGTGGTCATAAAACAAAATTTTCCGAGGCCAAAAGGCGTTGTATTTACGCTCCGTTTGATCATGACAGGTTGACAAGGCTGTCCAAATTCAGCGTAGGCCGCGTGATAATGATGATATGGATGTCAGTGCTGAAACAAACGGAGATGTTTACGTGAGGCCGGATTAAGAGCGACGGGAAAAGTGAAGAAACCATAGCTGAGCAAACAGTGGCTTGCTGATCGTGGTTTTAATGTCATGGAATGGCCCCCACAGTCACCTAACCTTAATCCAATTGAGCACTTGTGGGGAAAACTAAAAAATCTTTAGCCGATGCTGCAGGAGACGCTTCAAACTTCGATGAACTTTGGGAAAAAACACAAGTTGAATGGGACCTAATTGTCCAGAACAGTACAGAAATCTCGTGAGAAGTGCGCCCAGAAGGACTGATGCAGTTTTGGAAGCCAAAGGAGGACATACAAAATATTAAAGGACTAATTATTAAAGGCTATGTCTCTATCATATTATCGTTCGCACACGGTAATTCCTTTTATATTATTTTCATAATCATGATAAAGGAACAATTTAATTTTTTGGATAAAGGAACAATTTGTGTTAAGATAAATAAAATTATGAAAAAACTACGTTTATTTGATGTCTTACAATTGTTTGGTAAAGTAAATAATGATATAACCCAATTTGCATTCAGCTGTGAACGAATCTGTGAGTCACTGTATACAGGAAAGGCAATATATCAATGGTACAATGTAGGAGAATTGTCGGTAAAACATGGTGCATCAAACCATGGGTAGCCAAATGGCTATATACTGCAATTATTCTAACTAGATTATTTTTCGCAGCTTTAGTATAAAAAAGCAAGGAAAGGTCTAGAAAATAAAGCGAAAAATTACAAATTAAGGTCATTTCAAAGACTAGGTTGTCTGATGATGACAGGATCATTTTCGACTACATCCACTCTAGCACTTGAAATCATAACTAATACCACAGGCAATCGAAAGAGTTTGTTAAGGCGATCAAACCAGCAGAATCGAAATGGCTCTTCTCTACCTCAAGGAAGGGAATTAGGAGGCTGATAGGTATTCTGACGGGCCACTGCCCATTGAGAAGACACCTCTCCGTAATGGGTATTCTACCAGATCCTTTTTCCCGTCTTTGCGAAATAAAAGAAGAAACGGCAAGGCACTACCTCGCAGAGTGTGATAGGTATGCTAGGTCTAGATTTGAAATATTTGAAGGAGCGGACATCACCAAATCACTCCCCGAAATAAAATGGTCCAAAATCTTGGGGCTTGTGAACAGGTCCAAGAGATTTATGCATTTATTGCTGGACACGTGAGCCAATCAAGTCCCGGATCTTTTAGCGATGGGGTACGAGTATACCCAGGCATTTAACCCATCGGGCCTTGGTCGCCCAACCTGCATAATATATATATATATATTATGTGTCCAATAATAAATTATGAAATTAAACCTTTGATTTAGTTATTTTTCAAAATTCCATAATTAAATTTTCCTTCATTAAAAATGAATAATTTCCAATAAATGTTAATACATTTTATAATAAAACTAAAATAAAAATGTTAGTAAAAGTTAATATACAAAATTGGCAATATCCCTATTCAATTTTTAGCAGTTTATATAGATAAAATGATTAATTACCATAAATTCTATACAAAATTATTTTCACCGATTAAAAAATATTAAAAAACAAAAACAAGATTTATGCTGACTTTTGACAGTTTAATGTTTGTAAATCGTTGTTTAGTGACAATATTTTATTTGTGAACTAAATAAAATAAAGGTTTTTTTATGTAAAAATCGGTTACACGCTAGAACACTTCCCTGGCACTCTATGTGGGTCATATGGCCTTATTCTCAAGAACTTGGTGGCCAGGAGCAATTTCCAATAATCGCGGAATACAAATAATTGCAAAGTATAAAATGAAAACTAAAAATAAACGAGAAAAATAAAACTGAGGCAGTCATTTGGGTATATCCTATTCAAAAACAAATTTAATAAGTATTTTTCTTTAACAGTATAAAGTGTACTTCAGGGATTCTACTTGATGCCTATATAGCGGTCCAGAGAGAAGGCACAGAGTATATTTCAACATAAATTTATACACTTTGTAGATGAAAAGAATAATTTTCAAAATCTGAGCACTTTGAAGTCGATTATCGATCAATTAGAATATATAAAAATGACGAGTAGCTTTTATTTTAATTAAGTTTTTAAACGTTTTATGCTTTGTCTAAAATGTTTCAGTTAGATTATTTAAATTTAAAAAAATCGTTTGTGAAAGAAATAAGTAGATTTAAGTCACAGGGTACCTCAAGGGATCCTTGATGTGTATGTAGCGGTCCAGGGAGATGGCGCAGAGGTTGAGGATGCTTGCTGTGGAGCACATCACGTCGAAGGCGACCCACGTGTCGCAGAATTGCGGCCCGAAGAGCCAGTAGCCTAGGAGGTCGTTGACGACGGCGAACGTCATGACGAGAGCGGCGACGAAGAGGTCAGCGATAGCCAAGGAGGCGAGGAAGAGGTTGCCGATCTTTCTGAGACCCCGGTCTGTGTAAATGGCGACGCAGACGAGGATGTTGCCGGCTATCGAGAGGAATATCAGTACCAGCAAGAAGATACCTGCAAACAATAAAATATTATCGATTCATTACGGCAAAATCGGCTGTATCTATATTTTATCTAAAGTGTAATTGTATATCTCTATTTTTATAATACCTCAAATGGGAAGTAGAAAACAGTTAAGTGTTTTTAGTTGAACAGACATCCAATTTTACGTAAATGGATGACTACAGTTAACCATCTCTTAAGCGGTAAAACACTTATTAAAATCCTGTTCGATTTGGATTTTAAGTCTATCTTAAATGCATTTCCGAGCGTCTTTTGTCTTGCTGGGAAATTTTTGTTAATTTGGCAAACCGTCTCTGGCCATTTTATTAACCCCGAACTGTTATGTTGTTTCAACTTTCAATTTTTTTTGCGAACCCAGGGCTTATTGGCGGATATGTGTTCCATATTTTGGAGTATAGAATCACCAAAACATTTTTGGTCCAAATCCGTACCAACCCTACATTTCCTACATTTGCTTGTCCGCCCTCCTCATTGCATCGCTAGTAATTGAATTGGTCCTAAGGCGGAGGGCATACAACTAAACTCCTGACGAATCAAAGATCCGTCGTAGAAAGCCAGGTTGCCCAAAGCAAACAACTTTCAAGGTGACTACCTAGCTCTTGCGAATGGAAAAAGTTTCTCAGCTCGCTCGAAGGTGGTCAGCTGCTAAAGACTTATTTCTAAAAGAAAATCATTGTAATATCACATTTTATTCTTTCCTCATTGGTTAACCAGATGAAAATGCTGCGATGGTTTGTGCAAGAGACGAAGGGATGCACGGAGAAGGCTAACCTATGGGCTTAGTTATGAGGAGTCTCCTCGTAGATGTCGGACCTTGGACTAACCTTTGCAACTACAAAAACGAAGATGGTACTTCTGATCAAGAAATGATTCCAATCAATACGGAAAGTCCGTTGCCCAAGAGCTAATTCGGCCTAAATAACGTCACGTATCTGGGCAAAAAGACGAAGTTCTGGGAGAAGATAATGATAGCGCAGACTAATGGAATATTGTAATATTGGATATCGTAAAGCTAGCAAAAGTAGATTCTTCATGCTGGTCACGGATAATAATAAATCAAAATTTGGTACATTCTGCTGTATGCCCTTCAAAAGTATAAATACAGAAAGTGCATGGTGTCAATCTAAAGAAGAGAAACGTTCTTAATATCCAACTCTTATCGGACGGTATCCGACCTCATTAGCAATGTACGTTAACAAATAAAAGCAGAAATAAGTATCGAAAGAGCAGAGAAGTGTGCAAGAGAGCTGACCATCAAGAGAGATGGTGAGCCGATCCGTGAGAACTGATCGAACGGTGGGTCGATAGAATCGAACGACCAAACTGATCGGTGCATTGTATAAGGGGGCAGAGTAAAGTTAAAGAGAGGTTTGTTACTACCTCACACATTTTTTAATCGCGCACGTATGCTTTGGTCATTCAATTAATTCCTACATCACACAGGTAGGCAAACTGAAATCACAATTTTTTTCAGAATGCAGCGGATAGCTCAAGGAGAGAAGGGAAATGGACATGTTCTTGGAAGCAATAAAGCCGCAGATACTATTAAGAATGTTAATAAATGTGTGGTGTTTAGTGACCGTTAGTTATGACTATTTGGAGATCGTGGGATGCGGGCTGGTGTGACGTGGGTTTTAGAAAAACATTTTCTTCATCGTGCCAATGATTCGATCTATATTGAGATCATCTTCAGGGCTCAAAGTGTTTGTTTTCCGTGTAGATGTGTCATTTTTCTGTGTCGTGTTGAGAGTGCCCTCGAGTGCTACACGGCACAGAAGAATGACACATCTACACTGAAAACAAACACTTTGAGCCCTGAAGATGATCTCAATAAAGATCGAAACGTTGGCACGATAAATAAAATGTTTTTCTAAAACCCACGTCACACCAGACCGCATCTGACGATCTCCAAATAATCAATAATGTATATAAAGAAGATTTCACTAAGAGTTTAATAATGTATACAGGGTGAGTCATTTTTTGACGCACCATTGGAAAATCAACGCGGGTGCGTTTAAATCTGACTCGAGACTTATTTCCTTCGATTAATACGTGAATAAAAGAGAGTCAATTTTCGGTGCACCATTGGAAAATCAACGTGGGTGCGTTTAAATCTTACTCAAGGCCAATTTCTTTTGATTTTAACATTAAAAAAAGGAAGTGAGTCAATTTTCGGTGCACCATAGGAAAATCAACGTTGGTGCGTCTAATTATGACTCGACACATTTTATTTTGTTAGTCTCGTACCAAAAAATAAGCGTGTCACTTATCGACGCACCATTCGTTACAAATTAATTTTAGTAGGTTGAAAGAAAAATAAACTAAACCAATATTATTAAAACATTATTCAAACACAATGTAAAAATTAAAAAAAAATTCTTCACAAATTAATTTGATTAAGGTTTAAGAGTATTTCTTTCTGGTAAAGTAAAAAAATTAAATAAATATAACAATCTCTTTTTTTCTGGTAAAGTAAAAAAATTAAATAAATGTAACCATTTCCTTTGTTAGCAAATCAAAAATGTTCAAAATCATTATAATAATTGTTCGAACAGACCTCCATTTGCTGCAACACAGTAGCCTAGTCTATCGTAAAACGATGATCGGACGAAAAAAAATACTCTTAAACCTTAATCAGATTAATTTGTGAAGAATTTTTTTTAAATTTTTACATTGTGTATGAATAATGTTTTAATAATATTGGTTTTGTTTATTTTCCTCATCACCCTGTATGCTATATATGTTAAAAATACATTAGCAAATATTTTGCAACATGGTAATAATGGGTAATTAGTTTCCTTCCTATAAAAACAGCATTGTAAACAGAAAAACGATTTTTTATATTTAAGTCTAACAATATCATCAATACAAGAATTCTAGTAATGTAATATGATCATTATAACAAAAATTAACTTTAAATTACCTATGACAAGAAGAGAAAGGGTGGTGACGGTGTCGTCTTCCTGCAGAATTTCTCCAGCAGGGAGTGAATCATTGTAGGCTCCGCCAACCTGAAAACCACGTTAGGAACCATTATTATTTGTATAATAATTAATCTACCATAAATTAGTTAAATCATCAATATTCAGTACGACAACATTCAACATATAATAAGGCCAATTCAAAAAAATATTCACGGTTTATTATTTTTTTTAGAGAATGTTTTGTCATGTTTGATTCGTTATCAAATGTATACAAATATAATTTTCAATTATACTATACTTGAATCAATTATACTTTCAAAATTGTGATTAGATGTTGTATTTTTTACCTCGAAAGCTCGTCGAAGTAACAGAAATTTTCTTTCAATGTGAGCTTATCCTTGATCATTTTTATTAATATAAAATTAAATATTTTAACTGAATATTTATCGATTATTTACAATAAAAAATTCTTAATGCTAAAAAATTATGTCATAGTATTTTCATTATGTGCATATAAAATTTTTAATATGCGTAATGTGCCAATCAAATTTTTTTAAAAATATATCATAGGTCATCTCAGGAACTGTTTGTGTATTAATTTGACAAAAAATTGCGCGGGAGTTTGAAAACCGCTTAACTTCTAAGCCGTAGGAGAACTTCTGCCTAATGATACTAGACAGGAATTCGAAGTCATTACAACTCTCGGGACACGGAGTAGAATTGCAGCTTTATCTTTTGTAGATTTTCGTTTCATAAAGTTTACAATAAAAAAATCTGTGCTTTTTGTCCTGAAACTTTTCCCGTCAGAAGTACAGAACTGTTTTATTATTTTGTTTTTGTAATTTAATTTTTGCCACGGATCAGTTAGTGCGCCCTGGATCAATAATTATTTCTGTGCGACTTGTGACAAGACTTTTTTTTAGTCATTATTTGTTCATCTCTGTATAACTCGATGAATTTTACGCTTTTAACGCCCTTCTCATTATAATTTCAAACATTTCAAAAACAATTCTTCTTTTCCACCAACACAACAATCTTTATGTTATAAATGTAATTGTTGTAATATATATATATAATATATATACATATATATTATATATAAACATATATACATATATATATACAGGGTGTCCAAGCTAATGCGCCCACCACATTTTTTCTTTGCGGTTCTAGATAGGAAAAAGTATGAATTGAGACTCCTCTTCATTATTCATGTAGTTTGTTCATGTAAGGTCGATTTATTTTTTTCGACCCTGATTCGACATAAGTAATTTTAAACGAGAACCCGCATTTTTCAATTTTTTTTAACTAGATTTTTTGACGAGAAAAATGAGCACTGAGTTATTAAAATCGGCCCAATAGAACCGGAGATATGATTTTTGGAAAATAGCCGGAATACTGTTCTCGTGCGTAAATTCGAAACCACTTTATTTTGCGTTCTACTGCAAATATTTTGAAGAGGAGTGGAAAATCAGCCAAAGTAGGGAGAAAAGTCTGAAAGATTACTAAATTTTCTGCCAAATCCCATAAATTTCGTATATTGTATCGTTTTTTCTCCTCGACCAATACCTGATCTACCCAAGACTCATTCACCGAAATACCTTGGTTGCAGTTCAAATCCCACCTCCTCTCTCAACCGGGGTTGGGACCAGCCACAGCGGAGTTAACTATTAATCATAACTATTACTATCTTGGGATAAAACGGTTAAATAGCAAATCAAAGGAATGTAGGAACAAAAGCTGTTTATTTTTCGTTTCGAAACTCTTGTTGGGACAAGTCCTTTCTTATCTGAGTGACGCTCAGCGATGAAAATGTTTTGAATGCATAATTGTGGGGAATTAGTTTAGTTGTTTGTTCTCGCTTGTTCGCCACGCCACGACAGGTGTTTTCGCTTCAACAGAAAATTCATATGGTTGAAATTTTCATTGAGTGCGGTCGTAGCTTGCATGAGCTTTGCAACATTATCGTGATCGTTTTCCACAGCAAAATACACAATCTCGTCGTTCGCTTACGCGCATCATTAATCGGTTTTAGTCAACAGGTAACCTCAATACACCCGATCCGCGTGTAAGAATTCGCCATGTAAGAATTTACAATAACGAATTAGACATGATTTTACACTTTCAGGAAAATCCTAACAGTTCACTGAGACAGGCCAGCAGAAATCTGGAGATCTCCAAAAGTAATGGATTATATGGAACCGTGATGGCAAAATGGTTATGTCGTCCGACTCGTATTTCTCACGATAGCAGTACTGAGTTCGAATCCTAGAATACCCCGTCGATTTTTAATTGTAAACAATACGTAAAAGATATTTGTAAAGTGGTTCGACCTTCGTAGATGACACCGAACGGAGAATTGGACGTTAACCCTTCCATCACATGAATTACTATTTAATGTAAGGCGAATATTTTATGAGCGGCACCACCTCTTTTTCTTTTTACTTTTTATAGCAATACGTTTTTCGGAGATCGTAAAATACTCCTTGACAAGGTCTGTACTGGTAATATAAAATACGTACTGGGAACAAAAAGAGGCAAGAAAAAGAGGTGAAATGTATCCGACGCTGCCAACGATGTCTCTATTATTAAAGTTGTGTACAATCGAAAATCCGCGCGACAGCTCTGTGTAGCGGAAGTGTTGTTATGACCATAAATGTCATAAAGATTATTGAACTTGGTTTTGATCAGGTATTTTTAATTTAAATTATTCAATTGTAATTGGAAACTTTAAAGGTAATGTAAAAATATATAAATATATATAAAGATATATTATTAAACTATGCTCAGACACTATTTTTGACACACCAAATCGTTGTTTTATATTTAATTTTAATCTCTAAATTTTATTGTATTTGTAATTAACTATATATGGTTTTTAAATTATTCTATATTTTAAAAATCTCTAATTGTAATAGAAAAACAATTTGCTTTCATATTTAATTATATAATTTTTAATTTCAATTTTAATTAATTATCATTTTATTTAAAAAAATCTCTATTATCTGGCATTAAAAAGATCTTAAATATACAGGAATTTTACTTTATATGCTTACAGTGTATACCATCTCAAACCTTTTTCGTTTATATTTGAGGAATGCATAGTTTGCAATTTAAAAAAAATTTAATTTGAACATAAAATTTCTTTTTTAATACAACAAATTAATGTAAAGTTAGAAATGGGTAATTTAATAAAAAAACCGTCGTACTGAATTTCTTGGAACATAAAATGATGGGAACGCCGAAAATATATTGTTTGTAGGAGTATGTATGACAAAGCGTATTCTATGAGGGACGTTCAAAACCTGTCCGGGATAAAATTTACTCCCATGTAAATCTTGAAATATATCGTAGTACGTATGTCTTCATATATCGTTATGGTTTAATGGTGTAAATTTCACGTTTTAAATATTGACCTGTTTTGGCAAATGGCTAGTGTAAATAACAATACGAAAACATAAACTATTTATATGATAATTGGTTAAAAATGTATTTAGTTATTTTGTGATTATACATGCATTGTTAGGACTATGAGTAAAAAAGAACACATGGGCAATGTTAAGGCCTGTTCCCTAGATCACAGGTGCTCGAATTCGAAAACTTCACTAGAGTATTCTTCAAAAGAGTAGTAGTAGCTTCCTTCCAACCATTTGGACCTTCACCAAGAATAAAAATTTTAAATGCGGCCCTTTCCTAGTTTTTTTTTAGAAAATCCAGTTATGTATATTCCTGATTCTAGTTCTTCTAGTGAACTTCGAGTACACCATAAGAAAAATTATTAAATGAAGAAGTTTTTATGATGCTTGGCGCTCCTACATATTTTTGTTCAAAAACAATTATTTTTGTAAATTTATCAATTAAATTCTTTATTTTGGGTTTGATTAATAAACATTCATTGGCGTTTAACATACATTTTTTAAGATTAAAAATAGCCCCTTCTTATAGGAAATTTAATGCAGAATTCAAAAATGTAGTTAAAAGTTGAAACATATGCTCTTGATCTTAAAAATGACAATTTATTGCTAAAGGTCGGGATTTTTTGAAAAAAAAAAACACGTAAAATATCATTACTTTCGATCCGATTGAGATAGGCCAGTTTGGTTGCTTGCATTTTACCCTATTTAGGATGTACTATAATCTAATTTTTTCTTTCGGGTTTATGTTGGACTAACCTGTATAAGGTAAATTATCTTGAACCTCAACCAAACCTTTGAACAGGTTCAAAATATTAAAACGTTTGTTCGGAGTCTGAAAGACATAAATATGTACCACACTGGCTCTTTTTTAAAATAAACTGTTATAAAATATTAATGATAGACCACCACTGTTTTATCCATTGCGTTAACTCACCTGAGGAAGGATTAAAATAAATCCGAAACATTGAGGATAAAAACTGGTTATGATTTTTTTATTGAACCAACTGTTGAGGTCGTAATATAAGAAAACATCGTTACTCTAATCATGGGCTGTATAAGAAAGAGTGAAAATTGTACGTATTTATATGTAGTAATTATAAGTGAACCTGTTGTTTGTTATTCGGTTTCGTAGGATTTCAAATCATTTTTCATATATAATTTTAGTTTGTCAGTTTATGAGGATGTCGACGGATATTGCACATAACAAAGACATTGTATTCAGAGGGTTATTTTGAGTTGGTATCTGTGGGGCGGACGGCTTAGTTGGTTCCTTGTTCGTATTGAAGTTGTGGGCCTCCACAGCAAGTTTGCTCCGGGGGGGTCTTTGAAAAATGTCTTTTCTATGTTATTTCAAAGTAACAGGTTTTTTATCCACAACTCCGGGAATTCCCTCGTTACGCACAGTTGAAATAGTATACATTAACAGTTAAAATTGCAGCAATTACTCTGGCTGGATTGTATCGCTGGATTGATTGTCTTTTGAATGTCCGTTCTATTTCATATCCTTATGTGTAGAATAACATATAAATTTATATTTTTCATGTCCCACGGTTTTTTATTCAGTACGTTGGTAGAAAAAATTATTCCGAAATCGTGAGATGCGATCTGGTGTGATGTAGGTTCAGGAAAACATTTTCTTTATCGTGCCAACGTTTCGATCTATATTGAGAT